TTAACCATCTGCTACAAGATTTAGTAAAACATACCTGTATTTCACACATGGGCATCGAGGTAAAGTCAGTCTCTAGCATAAACATGCTCCTGCAAGGAGGAGTCACAATGTTAACGTGGGAAATCCCCACCACACTTTCTCATGAGCTAAACATTTCTAAAACGCAACAAAAACAATATAATAGCAAAACAGTGTGACCTACATAAAACATATTTCAATAATATGCAAAAACGAAAACCATAAACATATTTTATATATAATATTTCTTTATAACATTGCAGAGACACGTTACCTCGACAGTGATCCTTATGGCTCTGAGGATTACCCATAATACCCTGCTCTCTCTAGGGTGAATGTTATACTCCATTAAACCAGCAGATGGTGCATTTTAGCAGGATTTAACCTGAACCATAATAACTATGTTACACAAGCGTGGAGCGACAGTGGAGAGAAAAAACTCCCTGTTGGGAAGAAACCTCTGGCAGAACCAGGCTCAACATGGCGGTCTTCTGCCGGACCTGTAGAAATGAGACGTGGAATGCAGTAACAGTCCGGGAGGAATGACACTATGATTAGTTTTAGCTACGATGGTGGAGGAGGGGCTGGAGGTGCGTTGAAATGGGATCATCTAAATGAAGTCAGACACAGCGCCATCACTGCCTGCACACTAGGAAGCAGACGAGTTGTGAATTGGAGGCCTTTTAAGATCAACTTTGGATGCTAATTGGCTTTCGTGGAGGCGTAGTTCAAAGCTGATTGGCTGTGTCATAGGCAGATGAAGGCTAGTAATCAGTTTATTCAGTTAAACTTCTGCCTAGGCTCCATAACAACTTCCCTAATGAACAACAAATTTATCCAACACAAAATCAAATGCGTAGTTTATGCTGAATGGATGAAGAATAGTTTATTGTTCATCATAACAGAAACCAAAGGCTGTTTATGACTCTATGAACAACAGAATACAAAATTGAGCTTTAACCCACAGAAATTCAGATTTCATAGGTATGCATGGGTATGCACACATTTTATTTTTTCCCCCCAATATATTAATCTGTAAATAGTTGGTGCAAATAGTTCCACACATTTTCAGCCTAAATAAGATGGAGCAACATCACAATGTGCAAGAACGTTCCATATTCATAAAACTACAATTTGAGAGCATTTATTTATGATTTTGAATGATACAACATACATAAGGAATGTTAGGGCTGCAAAAGAGCAAGAATGTTTTCCATTTATTCTCTAATCTATAAACTTTAACTTCACGTTTTTTTTTCATGTTTTAACCTTTTATGTCTATTTATTTATCTTTGATATTTCTTAAATTTTTTTAACCTATGTAAATTGTACCAGTGCTGGTACTGTAAGTTACATGTTGAGACATTTAAGCCTGAAGTGGAAGCTAAACAAAGGTATGTTTGTTTTAAACCAAGTGCTGTGCTGCCAAGATAAGTTTAGAAAAAAAAAAACAAGTTGGTAAATCGAAAAATTAATGGCACAGTGCTGTTGTCTTGGGTTTGATTCATGATACAAAGAGCTCTTTGCTGTGAATGTCTTCCTATGTTATCCAGCACAATCCATGCATGTCCAAAGTCAGCATTAAGTTATTAGTTTCCAAAAAAAGAAATTTAATCTTATCTGACCGGTGTAGCTTGTCCCACAGTTTTTTTGCGATCTAAATGGTCTATCATGTGTCACATGTTCCCCTGCTGTTTCTCCTTATCTCACCATCTTCCAAAGAAAAATCCAAACTTTCAAGTTTTTAGTTTGAACATTGGTTGTGTTGCTGCTGCTACACCTTATAGCTTGCAGAATCACTTCTAGCAGGACTATTAACAAGGACTGAAGGATTAGAAATTGCTTTATGTAACTGTTTTAACAACAAATAACAAAAACAAAAGTTCTAAACCTTAATTAATAGATAAATATAGATTAACAGATGTAGAAATTAAAGATTATTTATAAACATTAAATCAGCCCCTTGCAACAGCATTAATACCTTTTAAACCTTTTCAAATTTTACTTCTAACCATCATGTATTCTAATCGGATTTTATGAGACAAAGTAGTGTGTTTGTATATTTCTGTAAATTTCTCAAGAACTTCCTCATTACATAGTTTTCCCCAACAAATAATAATAAAAAAACAAATGAAACAACTGATTCTAATGAAGCAACATCAAGCTAAATTACGCATTAACTCTAGCATCAATCTTCTTCTACACCATCATCCTCTCCTTTGCAGCTGTAGTGCTGTTTGTCTTTTAAACACATTCACCTTTTTTTTTTCCTTTATTGTATTAAAATCTCTAGTTCCAGTGGGGTGAAATTGCCTATCGTCATGGTGACTCGTCGAATTGGGGCTCCACTGATGATGGCTTTTCATACTTGTTGCGTACGTGTTAAACTGTGAGGGGACCTATTTAGAGTTGACTGAACTAATTCATATCATCCATTGTGAAACCAAAAACTCAGAGTTTCCAACTTTAGGCTAGATCAATTTAGAGTAGAGCATTTGAATCTAAGTTTGAAATGGAGCCCTGGTCCCATCAGATGTTGAAATATAGTCTGTGTTGTTGTGTGTGGTTGCACATGCTCGAACATCGAGCAAAAATTTTGGGTGGTCCAAAATAAACAAAACAGAACATTATAGAAATTACAACACAACGGCTTATAAATCCATGCACAACAGATATAATCTAGAGAATTTGGTTCTTAGGATACCCAATTCCATTAAAATAACCCAGTTAAATTGTCCAACATGCTCAACCTATTAGTTGGAATAAAAAAACAACAACCCAGCACTTTTTAGAGAGCATCGTATGCGGCATGTGTGCTGTCTGTGGTCCATGCCTGTCAAAGAGATCTCTGTGTCCTGGGCTGCTGGCAATGGGCATCATTGCATCCTTTCGCAATGACAGGTCCATTCGGTCTCGATCCCATGGCTTAGTGAAATTCTAAATCAGTATCAAAACCTCCATTTCTTTAAAATACTCTGAAGAAAATAGATGTTTACAGATGAACTTTCGGAATAGAAGTAGGATTTAGAACACTTTCCTGTTTAGTTTAAATGTCTAGATATTACTGAGACAGAATAGCTGACTTTTTTATCAGCATGTTTTTTACCAACTGATTGCAGGTTATTTGATCCCCCATGATAAATTTTTTTTTAATACAAATACATAAAAAATGAAGAGATTCCAGAAGAGTGGAACTGAATAGGAGGTGTATATATATGAGATAGAACAATGAATGGGCTAATCAGCTGATAGGGAGGTGTGGACAGAAGCAACTTACTTAAAAGGAGCTAAGGGGAAAGAAAAAGGACACTTTGTGACAACAATTAATAACCGGGTAAAACAACAGGAACTAATTGTAACTTGGAAAAAACTTAAATAACGCCAAAGGACAAAACAGGTCAGTTAATATGAAATGATTTTGAAATATATGAATGTTGAAGTTTTATAATTACATTAAGGAAAATAATGAACTTTATCCCAATATGCTAATATTTTGAGAAGGACCTGCAAAACTAATGACTAAAACTAGACCAAGGACTAAATACCAAAAATGCTGAAAAGCTATAACGAAAAAAATAATAATAATAACAAGGGATAGTATAACTAAGAAAACAAAAAGGATATAAATCGTGACAAACACAGAATATCATAAAATAAAGCATAACTGGAACCCCAAAAAGGATCTTAAACAGAACTTAAAAGTCCAGAAAGGCCAAAATCATGGCAGTATCATTTTTTTCCTTCTTTGTTCTTTGGGTCTTTTATCTTCTTTTACTTTTTTTTTATGTGTGTGATTGTAATATGTCACATTAGCACCACTTAAGATTTGCAAATTCTGACTTATTTCCACTTCACTTACTGGAGGCTCTTCCCATTATTAGATGCCCAGTTTTGCACCTTTCTCCTGTGGAGTGCCTTGAATTTCATTTCTCTGCCCTCTTCTTTCCTTGTATATTCTGCCTTTAGGGTCATTTTTGAATAGACACAAATAGGGCATGTCTGCACACTCAAAGTAAAACAGTGATTATACTTGGCCACAAAGTTTTCACTATGTCTTAAATACCATAAACTGATCCACCAGCATTCGCAGACATCAGTAACGTATCAGTGCATCCAGTAAAGCTGCAAGATAATGATGATTTACCCAAAATGGAACAAACTTCCTCCTTCCTCAGATCTGCTGATATATTCACAAAGCCAGCTGAACCACATTAAACCTTGGCTAATTCCCGTCATTACAGGTGTCTTATAAAGTTGAGCTGCGTCTGGAGCTGCACAACAACTAACAGAAGAGAACATGAAAGCTGTTGCAGTCGTCTTGGTTTTGGTGAACTACTTCACCAGCTGTCATGGTTAGTTTATTTCATGTTTTCCGATAACATTTTGACCTATGCTTGTTTTATCCCTATATGCAATTTTTGGCTCTTTTCTACAGGTTTGACCTGCAAAGCCGCCCCCCAACAGTTGTCTGCAGCCCAGGTTGATGCTGGCCACGGGATAGTTGTGATGACTGACATTCTCTACAACAGTTTTTTCTTGACTGGATCAAGTTGGAGCAAACTGGGCTCTGTTCCTCTCAAGCATGTCTCAGTTGGACCTGCAGGAATCTGGGGAGTCAACAAAGATGACAAAGTCCATAAATTTTCTGGTGGGGATTTTTTCCCTGTTTTAGGTAAGTATTATGTTGCATAGTTAGGTTTTCTTTTAGTTGTTTTGTTCAGTTATTTAGCAATCACCCCTTTATATGTTCAGGTCTGGAATTGAAGCAGTTGGATGCTGGAGGACAAGGTCATGTAGTTGGGGTTACTGACACAGACAAGATCTACTGCCTTAATGCAGATAGAGCCTTCAGCATTCAGAAGGAGGGCATTTTGACCTGGGATCAGCTTCAAGGGAGGCTGAGGTATTTCAGTTGTGGTCCAAATGGATGCTGGGGAGTGAACTCAATACAACATATCTATTTCACGGTAGCAGGGTTTGTTTTTACTATTTGCCATCCTGTTATAATGTTCACCCATCAGATTTTCACCATATTTGTTTTGTTTTGTAGAAAGTCTTACCAAACACATGTGAAATAAGTGGCTTTATAAGAATTAATGGATTAGGAGTCAAGATAGAAGTTGGGACTGATGGACGTGTCTTCATTTTAAATCAATCAGGACAGCTCTATGAAAGGTACGTTTTTCATTGGTTTGTATTACAAATGTGCACAGCACAGAGATTATGCCTTGGTTACTGGTTACATGGTTAATAATCGCCTTTCCTTTACAGAGCTGGGATCTCTGACAAAGTTCCACAGGGCACAGAATGGAAAGAAATTGCATTTCAGGAGCCCTTAAAGCATGCAAGCTATGACCTGGGACATCTTTGGCTTGTGACCAAGTGTGGTGTGATACTAGAGTGCACTGACTAACCAACTGGGAGTCTCTATGTTAATCCTTTTTTTCATATAACTGTTTTGGGGATATTCCTATGTGTGTTTTGTCATTAAAATATTAATAGAGCCTAGGTCTCCAGTTTAACCACATTAGGAGATAAATCAAAATGGAGATGTAAATCACTGTAATATTGCTATATGGGTATAAATGATTTTTTGTCCTTTTGGTGTTCAGATTTTTACATGTTAAATATCAAAACATTATTTCAAGGAAAAAATAAAAATTCCATATATCAACTGAAGTTGTTTTGTTATCTGTGGTTGAAAGATATTGCTATGTTATGCTGGTTTTTGGAGATGAATGAAAACCAATATTGACAGGATTATCAGGATTAATAACTATAGCACTAGGTAGAGATCTCTTTAGATTCTTTACAGCTAAGATGCTTCCTCATTACAATCAGGCTGTAAGAGTTTTATCCACCTTTTCTGTGGATAAACCCAGCAACAGGTTTCTCTTAATCAAAAACCAGAAATATTTGCAAAGATCGAAGTTATGTTACTGCCCGTTATGGTATATGTACACAGGGGTATATGTGCATCCATAATATTCAAGGAAATCATACATTTTTTAAAGACATGAATTAGATGTAATATTACTGTAGGCTGCTCTGTGTGTAATTGGCTTCTCTAAATTCTCTTTAGGTGGAGCTGGAGATAGGGACCTCTTGTGACCCCGCCTGAAATAAGCGTGATGGAAAATGAATGAATTACTGTATAATTGGGTAGTTGTAATCGTTTTCATCTGGATCAAAACCTGCAGCACAATCTAATCAAAATTAAATTATTAGAGGCTGAATATTTCTAGCCTGACGTAGTCCGACTCAATTCTAGTCAGAATATGAGTCTGATACTGCTCCATAGAGCTGTGATTATGGGGCGTGTTTCGAACGAACCAGGAAAAAAAATGCCTCTGCACTCAATTGGACAGACGTACAACCAATAAGGGCAACGGAGTGCGTGACGTATGTTAAGCGAGGCATAGTTGTTGTCCATAAAAATCAAAGCGTGCAGTTTCACGCCTAGAATAAGAAGATGAGACTTGATCGCGTTTCTCTGTTCCTCTTTTAAAATTAATTTGCTGTCGATATCTTCTAGAACAGACCTAATAGCAGAATCTACTCACCTAAACTCTCCTGCGGCAGCCATTATTGTTGTCACCCAAGCGCGCATTGGTCACATGGTTGATTACGTTACTGTTGGTCATCTGTCCATCATCGTATAAAGCCCGCCCTGACAATTTGATTGGATCGCCTGACAGTGGGCGATAATACTCGCGCTACTATGGAGCAGAGCCAGACCGAACTTCCCGACCTCAAACTTTGTGGCCGGGACTAAGTTCGGAATGGCACCCAGGCTAGAATATTTCACCTTTTAGATGAAAACGATAAACATTAAAATCTTTTTTTTTTTGTGTACCTTGAACTACACATACCAATATATTTGTGAGGGATTTGCACAAACTAGCCAGAAAACCACTGAAATAAAAAAAAAAGTCGGAATTTATTCCAAAAAGAAGTGTTCAAAAAATGATAAACTGGGCCCAGCAACAGACAACAACAAAACAGAATACAATTCAGGTACTAACATACAGAACTCAGGCACAAACTGACCTAACAAACAAGACATGTGGGAAACTTATATAGTGGTCGATCAGACCACTGTTGACACACAAGGGGGACTGACTAACAAACTAACAAAAAAGAAAAAGAAAACTTAATTAAACAGATAAATACTGGCGAGACACTCAGTACTTTTTAATTTAACTTATTAACAAAATTACCCAAATTAAGAATATTTAAACAAATGATAAACAAATTTCCCTTCCCATTACAAAAGGTGTGACCTGCTGATTAGCCTGCAATGATCAATTGAGGAAAGCTGGAGTGTATTGCAGCCCTCCACCAGCAGATCCAAAGGAAACTGGCAACTCAAAGAAAAAGAAATTAATCGATTGCATCTTAACAACAACAACAACAAAAAAACTGACAAATAAAGTTAACTAAATGTGAGAACTGCAAAAAGCGAACTTAAAGTCAGGATAATGAAAATATATGCAATGTGCAACTCATTTTGAAAATGAAAAAATGTAAAAGTTACCTCTCAGCTTCAGAGTGTGACAGCAGGCTGTCACAATATCAAAGAAATCATTAACCGGAAATCTGATCGTTTAATGTTAAAAATGTTTGTGTTGGGCTTCAGTTGAAACCTGTGAGAAATTCACATAGTATTTTTGTGTGGACTCATTGTACAAACCAGAAATGCCCACAAGAGTGTGCTCTCCACAAGGTGAACATTTTGGTCCCCCTCCTGCATTGTCTTTAATATTGGATGGATACTTATTGGACTGGATTGACAAGGTGAACAGCGTAGTTGAGAGGAGACTAGATTTGAGAAAAACACAAACTACTGTTTTCCCTTCAATGAACCTTGCGAAAAAGATATCCTGTCTAATTTGCCACCTTTCATCAGCGATGATGTGTTGTGTGACAGGGGCAGATTTAGGAAATTTGGGGCCTTAGGCAAAGAAAGGCATGGGGCCCTCTGAATTGAGAAGAAAACACCACTCAAACCACTGCCACTTTGACCAGGAGTGCCATTCAGTTAATAATGGCCCTGAAAATATTCAAAAAGAGACTGTTCTGTTTTATGAAAATTCAGAGCCAGGGACATAAGCGGATACTGTGAATGGAGCTACAGTGGGTGCAACTGGGGAGGGAGCTACGGTGGCTGCTGCTGGAGAAGGAACTCAAGAAATGAACACTTTGGAAGCAGTTTCAACAGGAGAGTAAAAGCAGTCAAATTTTTCAGTGAGTTTGAGAATGTTATTTATTCTGTTGAAGGGAGTAAAGAGAGACAAACGACTACACAAGAGCGATTACGAGAAGAAATAGATGTTCATGACTTAGTACATAGTGAAGGAACTCTGATCAGAGATGATGAAAGTGTTTTTAAAGTACCATCACTAAAAGAAAATATAAATAATTTAAAGGGGTAAAAGCTAAAAAGACTCACTTAAAAGAAAGTGATTCAGAGGCTGTGTCTGATTCTGATAGCGATAGAGAATCTTCTGATTCCTCTATTCCTGATGACCAGAGTACTAATATTTACAGTCAAGAACAGATAAGAAGATTTTTGGAAGTGACTAAAGGAAAACAGGATGTGGTCACAGATGATTTTTTATTTTTTTTCCCAAGTAGAAAAGTGTTTGTTGTCTCAGCTAAATGGTTAATGAGACAAAGGACACCTGATGTTTTAAGGGACACGGAAGTATATAGATTTTGAAAACTGGTGCAAAAAAAAAAAAAACAGAGCTCAAAATAAGTGATTTACATAGAAGTTAAAAACAGCTGATAAGATGATGTACTTTCTGTTTTCTTTGGATCTTTTTTTATTTGATTATGAGTAGATTTAAAAGCTCATCTTTGAACCTTAATGATGCAAGGGATGTAAAAAAAAAGGCTGTTAAACTTTTAAAATCTAAATGCATTGATATAGCTTTTCCTCAAGAAACTCATAGCAGTGTTGATAATGAGGTTGATCGGAAGAAAGAATCGAATGGAAATCTTGTTCTGAGTCATACATTTTTGTTTAGTACAGGAGTAGCTATTCTTTTCTCAAGAAATTTCCTTACAATTTCTATTGAAATTGAAGATGTTGTATCTGGTTACTGTTAAGTTTGATTAATTTTTGAGTTAATTTTACTAAATAAATATGCACCTGTAATTTCAACTGAATGTTGTGTTTTCTTAGAAAACTTAGCAAATACACTATTAGTACAACTTTTTTAAATTTTTTAGTCCAACTGTTTTTAATGTTCTTTTTTGTTTCTGCATTTTTTATTTTATTTTTTTTCCCCTACTTGCTTTGATTCTGTTTTATTTTCCTATATTTTAATCATGTAAAGCACTTTGTATTGTCTTTGTACTGAATTGTGCTATACAAATAAATTTGCCTTGCCTTGCCTATTAAATTGTGTGAAAACAGATTACTTAATTTTTAGAAGGTGATTTTAATCATACAATAGAATCTTCAGATAGGAATTATTTGGAGACACATATACATTTAAGGTGTCATAATCCTGACGCTGATGGTCTGGTTTTTTCCTCTGCTCCTCCTCACCTGCCTAATTGGCCCTGTGGCTGATTACTGCCAATCTGATTCACCTGGTCCCTGCAGCTATTTAGGCTGTTTGCTTTCCTGCTATCAGTGTCGGATTATTCAACCTGTCTCAGGGTGAGTTATTCAAGCTATCAAAATAAGTGTTTTGTTCTGTGGAATTCTTCTCAGTTTTTTGCCCATGTGTTTTTGGTTTTTGCCCTTTTCCCTGTCTGCCCTGCTTAGTTTGGTTTTTGGCCTGACTGCCTGGATTTTGCCTGTTATCGAACTTGGACTGTTTTTCTGACCTCAGCTTGGATTTTCCCTGGATACCTCTTCATCTCTCAGATCTCCTGGTTTCTGACACTGCAGTGGACTGGATTTGAGCTTCACATAATCCCTCATGGACACTGTAGCTTGCTCGGCGTCGGCTGGCGCCGGCTCCCCCACACTCTGTTCTCTGAAGCGATAACGACCGTCTTCCCCCCGGGTTTCTCCTCTGAGTTTTGGACTGAACTCTCAACCAGGTCAGTGACTTTTTGTTGTCTTCTCCACTCTTCATTCTTGTCACTGACCTGAGTTTCCTGTCTCAGCAGAGAATCAGAGAACCCGCTCTGAGGAGTTTCCATCGTCCTCTTTCTGTTTTTGAAATAAACCTGTTTTGAAACTTTCTGTTTGTCTGCTGAATATTGGGTCCAACCTTCAGTTCCCGTTACATAAGGGGAATATTGAAATGTATTATTGAAACTTACGATTTAGCTGACATGGCGCTTTAAAAATGGAAAGTTGAGACAATATTGCTGAGCTCATTGTAAAAAGAATTGTATTTCTTTTGGTAAGATTTTAGGTTTTATTGTTTTGGGCATCATTTACAAATATTCATATCATGCACTTTGGGTCCAGTTGGCTTTTCTGATCATTGCATTATCATAGGGAATGTGTTTATAAATTTAAGACCTTAAAGTGCATATTAGAATTTCAACACCGTTTTGTTAAATGGTGGTTTTAAAAAAGATTTTTTTTTTTTT